AAAAAATGACTCTGAAAGGTACGCATAAATTAATTCAGGTATCGATTCCAGACCCTAAAAGGTACGACCCTTTTTTGACGTCTTTAAAGAGAGAAAAGCTAAAGTTTAACATATAGTTAATAGAAACTATGAAACTAACAAGCTTTAGAAAATCAATATCGATGGTTGTTGAGGTTAATAAAATCTATTTCTTTTTTAATTGTTTTCGATGTTTGAAAATTGTCCCTAAAAGGTACGGAGTCAGTTCAGGACCCTAAAAGGTTCGCGAGGGCCTATTTTCGTCGAGCATACCTACCAACTTTTATAAGGGAGTCCCCCCCGGTTTTTGAGTGAAAGCTGCTATCGAGAATTTGAGAATTGAACCAAGCAGAGTTCCACGACGAATTTTCAAATGTCTCAGGACCAAGAATACGTTTAACTTTAATGTTAGCAAAATGGCAAGCATTATAGGTATCAGAATTGAGCGAAATTAAATATTACACTGGTATAAACAAACAATATATACGACAGAAGAGAATTTAAGGACCTTTAACTATTCACTTACTATGTGTCCAACAGTATTTTAAACTCAAGACAAAAAAAGACAAATTTTGAAAGTCACAAAATTATATAACACAATACGTTAATTGTATTATAGTTACAGATTCTAAGGACTCAATCTTCCAACCACGGGATTATAAATTCCAAAACGAGCGCCGCTGAAGATTGCCCTCTTAAGTTGAATCATGGCACTGATGGTATTTGACATCAAGAAAGGCATAGGGTCGTCCTTATCAAAGACTGCATCTCTACCATTCATCAACGACCACAATAACCCACCAACACCCTGACGACCAGAAAATAGCTTGTGGAWCTCAAGGTACAGCCAATAGGCGCGAGGCGAMGTMGASGMAGGCTCAACAGGAAAAGAAATTGTTTCATCTTGCAAACTCTCKGGWTCTAGAGCTGCTTGAAACACCTTGGCCAGCTCAGGATTACCGTGGTGAAGCGAAATGCTTGAGTGAAGACGTGGGTTGCACTCGATGCAGTAGACTTTTCCTGTCACATCGTCTTGTATAAAGTCAAAACAGATGCCTCCACTGATCTTCATTTTRMYGCAAAACTCMAAAGTCCAATTTCTCACGGCTTGGTTGGGGACGTTGTCAAACTCCGTTTGGRRGCYGCAYGTTGGAAGTGTTTCCAGCGACAACACCTTTCCCTGTCGACAGACTACGTTGGATGTGAATTCGGTGCCTTTTATGTAYTCGCATACAAAGTAGTTGGGCTTTGAGCTGACTTTCGGTTCGTATTCTTTTAAGTACTTTTTGAAGGAGTCTTCATCACCAGGTATTCGCTTGAAGTTCAGTCTATCCTCGCTGTAGTCGTCAATTGGCTTTAAGAAATAATGTTTTTCATTGAACAGGTTCATTTCTCTTAGCTTTTGCAAATCCTCAATCCCATAGATAGCGTGRAAGTCGGGCACSGASAAGCCAATCTTTTTACAATGATCAAGAAAATCGAGTTTGTGGTTAAGCAGTCGCGCCAACTCAAGATCACCAAAACCCAAACACCTAATGGTTGGTCGCAGCTTGGCCAGTCTTTGCTCGACCATGTAGTTTATGATAGCATTCTTTGTCTTACTGATGGGAATAAACCAATCTACTTGCTCTTGAAGGGCAATTTTCACGACTTCTTCGATGTACTTCTCTGTAGTTGGGCCCGCATGGTGYGCTACGTATATGACTTTTGYCACRTACCTCGACCAACTAGCGCCMGTGTGTTTGTATCGATTAGAATCGACGACAATAATACGATGKCCAACTTTACCAAGACACCGWAWCACATTCAACGTCTTTGTATTCACAGARTCTGTAAAGAGCACMGTTYTTCGGWGGTCYSGTGGGAGAAGCGTTGGTGSTKCCTGCTTGGTGTAGATATTCAACGCGTGGAGAATATGAAAAGATGTCCAGAGAACAGCAGTTAATATGCAGTAGAATGGAGTTGTCAGCAGAAAGATGATAAAATAGAARCAAGCTTTAAAACGGTACCAGTTTCGACTTGCCATGACGAAGCTCACAGTTGTATATAGTTCTCGGTCAGAAATATTGCATAACTCAGTGAGACAATAAGCGATTAAGGCCACAAATATAAGTTTATTGTTATTGAAAAAAGCATTGAAAAAAGTTGGTGCATTTGTAATCCGCCTTTTTGTTACAGGATTTTGATTATCCGAGTTTAAGAATAAGGGCCTTTCTGTGTGTACCGGAATCTATTGTATTCTGGTTAGGTTTCATTGTATTTCAGGGTTTGTTTAGGATCTGCTTCTTTGTTTTAAGCTTCTCTTTCTATTGAATTACGTCATCTGTGTCCGGTATCTACAGAAGCAACCAAGAATACAAAGATTTGACGTTTTTCGATTAGATTCATTTCCTACTCAGAAAGATTTCGAGATTCAAAGTCGTTCCTACTAGTATAAGTATTACCGTAGGTTGATACTGGAGTAAAGAGCTGCCCGATATTTGCCTTGAATCCACAGTTTTGGCTAACTGGTCATGAGATTATATGGTCTGACGAATAACGATCCAAGTGAAAGTATTATGTAATCGGCGGATAACACGTACTGAATGGTTCTTTTGTTAACGGACGCTTCCACGTTGACGTTKTGGGCATTACATTCAGAGGCCAATTCTAAATGTTGAACTTCCTCTAAATTTGCTAAAAGTTGTTGGATACTTGAATGGAGTTTCTATAATTTGGTATTAACAAAACGTTTTCTTTTTTCCTTTTTGTCAACTGAAAAATAAGCTTCCAAATGACTGTGCAATAATTACCAGGAAGGGGTGGGAGGGGCATAACATTTGATCCCAAGATAGGGGGAGGGGTTAAAGGAATTGACAGATCAGGGGGGTCTTACGTTTTTTTCAAATTTTCGTTATATTCTTTATCTTTTATATAGCAAATGTCGAAACAACGTTTACTGACAATTAGTGTGTAGGTTTTATCAACAACACTGATCATTTTTAATCTGCTAGCTAAAGCATCAAGATGTTTTTCAGCTTTTTTATCTTCAAAATGGGGTGGGGGGGGGTCTTTATTCCATTTCTCTTGTTCTATTAATTGGAATTACGGTTGTTCCGACGTTTTTCCGCTAGTTCTGGTGCTAAACGTCAGGCTGCCTGGCGAGAAAATTTCGGATCTAAGACTAAGGCATAGAGTGACATTAATCCCGTACTAGCATTGGCTAGTACAGCACGGACAGCGGTATTAAAGAATCCAAACCAACCACAATAGACCACAATACAGCGCGCGCTCGTGTTATTGTTTACATACGTTTAAATGTGTCAAGCATACAATAGGTTATAGATTAATAGTACCTGTGAGGTATTTAGTAAAAGGTATTTCTGTCCAAACTGAAAGGATGGAAGACKATTTGCGCTCACTTTGAAAAATCCTACGAATCCGCCATTTTCGTCCTAAAATGGTGCTTCGGTTCGCAAGGTACGACGGTTGTGATTCTTTAGGGGTACTCCCCTATATTTGCTATACGGGTATGTGCCGCTCGAKAGGGTCCCTTTTTCGGAACTCCATGTGGGATAGGGTAACATTTTTTGCCCATTTGTCTGGGATAGGGTAGTCTTTTTGTGATAGGGTAGTAGTTTTGTCTGGGATAGGGTAGTTTTTTGTCTAGGATAGGAAAAAGTCTCTCTCGTATCTGCTAGGCCACGCTTTCAAAGCTAAAATAATGTACCTTTGTACCTTCAGTCTGGGGTAGGGTATGTAAAATCAAAAAAATTGGCCTGGGATACTGGAGTAAGGGTTTTGAGGGTCGTGCGGAACACCCACACCCAAGTTAACAGTATATAAACATCACGAACGGCAATACAAATGTGACTCTATCCGGCTAACCAACGAGTTTGCGTAAAGGCTATATACAGATGAATGTTTTCGAATAACAAAAGGGCTCGAATCTCAGTAACTGTCGGATCGTATACCGCAGTTGTTCGCAATGTGATATTTTACTACAGTCGAATCTCTACTTACGGACGCTCCCGTAAGCGGACAGTTCTACTTACGGACAGCTGTTCAAACCCCCGTTTTTCATCCCAAACAAACACTGTATTTATACTTTCTATTAATCGGAATTTCTCGTAAGCGGAAGCGGACACTTTTAGCAATTCCCAATTTACCTTTTCAACTGTTTTCAATCTCGAGTAAGCGGACACTTAAATTCAATAAGTTTAATTTGATGTTTATACGATTAATAATAAGTTATCAGTTTAACAAACTCATGTGAATGATAAGACTAACTATACATGGAACT